TATATGGCTTGTAGAGAGATATTTTTCACAAAAAATCTCAAATTTAAATTGGTTTTCATTTTATTATATTACATCTAATTTTCCCATCTTACTACTGCTCCATATAACCTTCAAAGGCAGTCGGAACATTCAAGACTTCGCCCTGATACGAGCAGTTTTGTTTGTATATATTGAAGCGAGCGTACATCCACGACCACAACTTTTCTTCCTTCTGAGGTCTTCTCAAGGTAAGAGTCTTCCCAGATTGACCAAGTTAAGATCTTTCACGCCATCCTTTAATTCGTATTAAATTTGCAAAACGCGGAATGTTAAATCAATTCTGATCGGCTGGAAAATCCTTATTTAGAGCCACGTTATCATATCTCCCCCGAACGGCTTTTTTTGGGGGGAGGAGAGTGTTAATTTGGTCCCAAAACTCTTATTTCTCGTGGTTTTTGTTCGTCAGCTGTAATCTTTGAACCAGTTCTAACGTTTCTGCGCAGATTTTTCTCAATATCCTCCATTAAAAATGCTCAAAATTTTCCAATTAAAAAATGGACTAGACGTTTATATTCAAGATAGCGTTTTACTTAGAACTGCTTTTGTAGCAGTCTTTAACTTTAATTTGTAAGTTCGTTTAAAACAAGTAATCGCTTTTTTTCTGATGTTATAAGTTCTTGAGTAGGTTTGTACGACAATAATACTTGTGGCAAACAGCAACCAGTATCGTTGTTGCCCTAATACAAGAAACATTGCATGATAAAGTAATATAATCAGCGGAACAGAACTTTTGTTTTTTAATATTTGCATAGAACGATCTTAATTGAAACGCAGTTCGGTACAAAAAAATTTAAAAAGCGATTAAACTACTGTTAAAGACGCAAGTTACTTGAATTTAAAACTCTATATTTTGCCCTTTTAGTTGTGGTGGTATAGTTTTCATCAGATCAGGAAAAAAATATCGATTCTTAGTAATTTTTTTCTGGTTTTTCAAACTTCAAAGTTGCGCAAAATCATTTTCATTTGACTTTTTATAACTCGAAAAGAAAGAGCTTATACGTTTCTAGAGAATTATAACTTTTATTGAAACATTAGCGCTATTAAATATGACTTGCATTTTTCAAAATTGCTTTCACTGATTAAAAATTTTTCGTGAATTGAATTCAATCGATGCAGTATATTGGGGTTTAATTTATGCCATCACAAAACTCGACCGTGCTTAAAGTAACCGCACCAAGTAAACCGAGCAAAGATTTCTATATTACACCAAAAATAATTTTGCAAAATACACCAGAAAAACTTAGGAGTGAAAAATCATTAACGTCAATTTCTATCCTTTCATCGAGCTGCAAAAAGAGTCCTTTTTAAAGCAATTAGAAAAAAAATTCAAGCAGCACAAAAGAACAAAGATTGTCGGTAACTGTGCGAGTAGCCCAGAATGTAACGACGATAGTAGAAAAAAAATACAATTTATTTTCAAAGTTGTTTCGTTTAAAAGGATCAGAACAAAAAACTAGCGATTAGGCATATTCGACAACCAAGATGAAATAAACAAATTGCGCAGTAATTTTTATAGCAATATAAGTCGAAAATTTTACAAACTCAGAAAAACTTCAAAAATTGTATTCGTTTTTTGCAGTCTTTTGAATTTTTGAAGCTTTTGATTCCAAAAAGGCGCTTAAAAAGCAAATGACTAACATTACTTGATTAAAATCAACTTTTCACGGCCTAAATTAAGCTACTTTAAGCTGATAACTTATTAATATCAGCAATTGTATGCTTGCTCGCTTGCTTTATTCGCTCGAATAAATTTACTTTTTTTAAATATCGTTCGAATCACGACTGGAAGAACTATAGTATTATTTATCACTTTACTCATTTTGATGATTATTTGTGGTTGTGGTGCCTGACTTTGTTTGGAAAGCAATAAAAATAAAACACTCCCGAATACAAACTTTCCACTTTTTTCAAACAATCGGATTAACAACATCAACAACATTAAGCAAAAACAATTAGAAAATAGTACTAAGACAGTTAGAAAACCACTGAACATAGATTAAATAAACATCGGCAAAATGTAAATAAACAGGTTCTGGAATGTGTTTTTGATAAATTTTCTAAGCTGTAAAAATTTGTGCAGGCATGTTTCTTTTGCAAAAACTTTTTGTAGTCAGTATAAATATTTTTGCGGAATTTTTGAAACCGTAATATAATGTTGAAATTTGACTTGTTTTCGTTTTGACATTGGTATATTTTTTGTCATTAAAAAAGTCAGAGTACTTTTGACAGCTTTCAAAAACACCGCCAAATTAAAATTAAACAGATTCTGAACTCTGGTAGTGGAATGTGTCTTGATAACTTTTCTAAACCTAAAATCCAATTACTGGGTAAGGTTTGAAACTGAGGTACTGGAGAAAAGACAATAAGTAGTTTTCTGTTGGAAGTCTTCGGTGTAAGTTTTTTTAAACTTAAATTTAACAAGTGCATAAAATAGCATTTATGATATATTACCGGAGGCCAGTCAAAAGAAACTGACCCACGAACATAACCAGTCTAAAAGCAAAAGCAAAAACAAACATCTGGCGGATCATTAAAAAATTATTTTGCAGCTGTAAATTTATCCGTTCAATATCGCAAATAATTTTTTTACAAACACTTTTTCCCTTTTCTAGCGCACTCTTTGTCGCAAGAGAAGACTCATTTTTATAGAAAACCTTCAGCAAAACATTTTTTTTTTGATTTCGGAAACCAAACCACCAAGCTTGAACTGGGCTTGAACTAATAATAAGTGCTTCAGAGAACTTGCATTCACTCCAAACACTTAATAGGTTGAAATAAGTTTTTTAAATACGACTTCATTTAATTAGTTGATAAAGCTCCTGAACCATTCTACTCAGCGTGTGTCCTCCTCAGTAGCCAGTTAGTTAAATCTTCGAACACATTGATGTTTAAAAAATTAGGATATACAAATTAATCTATCAAGCCACGTTACATTACAAAACGATTTCAAAGGGTTTCATTTTCGTGAGTGTAACTTTTTGTGGTCATAAAACGTGAAAATTTACGATTTTTTTATTTTACAAATTTTGAGAGTCGGAATTATTTTTTTTGCATCATATAAAACCAGATTAAACTTCTCTCTACGCTAGGTGGAAAATTCAGTATATCTGCTCAAAAAAATAAATGTGAGTTTTGCCATATTGTGAAAACTTGTTTGAGCTATTTCCTGTATTTTTCAATATTTTCTTTTTAATATTTATGCAAATAACGCATTTTTTACACTCAAAGATCAAAAGTTAAGCCAAAATTACGTTTTTTTGGCAAAAGCGCATGATTATTTAAATGAGCCGGCGTTTTAGAACAAAGCCTAGATGAAAGCTTGACTCCTAGAAATTGATTTTGATATAGTGAATATAAATCAACATACATTGACCGAAGTTATTTTCAAACCGGAATGGTCGAGCGATGTCCCTTTTGTCTTTTTAGGCTAAACTATGCCCAAATACGAACTAATTGGTCGAGTATTGCCTGCCTTCAATCGTTCTGGTTAAAACTGAATTTGGTTAGAGCTAAATTATAAGTTTTGTTTGGATGGGAAACAAATAGCCTCCAAACCAAGCTGTTTTTTAACAAAGTATTTCACTTCTGCATGATTTAGTGTTTCATATTGACAACCAAAAGTTCAACTCAGCAATTTACTTTCAATAAGAAAATTCTAAAATTACCCATGTAACTCTGTAGGAACCCTTAGGTGTCATTTTTAAAATTCTATCATGCCAATACTTTGCTGGGAGCAATTTGTCGAAATTGAGTGTTGTTCAATGTAACACTCTGCAAACGTCTGTAATTGACTAGAAATTCCTTTTCATTTTTTATGACGTAAAGTTTTAATGACTAATATTCGAACCTGCTTGGCTCATGGTTCCATAGTTTTTGACCAATTATTTGACGATGTTCAATCCATAACTTGAACCCATTCAGTCCATGATTTGACTAATGTGTGCCTTTGTTTCGACAAAAAATTTCGTTCAATTTTCTCCGAGCGAGTAACGAATATTGTTCAACTATTTTGGTCAAATCACTTCGAAACTTATGCAACTTCCTACCCGAGGAAAGCACTCTTCGAAAAAAATTTTATAAGGCAGCAACAAGTTTTAAAGGTGAGTCTTATGTAGGTCTTCCGCTGAAGTGCTCATAGCTCGAAACGTAATTATTCAACGATTGTACAATAGTGAAGCTATTTCAATTGTATTTCGGATATAAAATCTAATTCAAGCGTGTTTTTTTTTATCCCAAAATGTATTTCAAAACTTTTTTCCAAAATGTATTTCAAAAGTGGATTATAAAAATTCAATATACTTTTGCTGACTTTTTGTGCTCAGGGAAGAGTGATTTTATTTCTAATTCCTCTGATTGAAGATTTAGACAACTGGGAAGATTTAAGGATTATGCTGGTTTTTCTCCCGCAATTAATTTCATTAAAAAACTCACAAAAAAACCGAGTGTATTATCGTAGTGAATGTTTATTGGTATTGTAATTTGGACTCTAAAAATTAAAAAATTCTTCAAAAAAGTGTCCAGAAAAACTGACTGATCAACATAAATTGTTAACTAAAAGCGCTTTTTGATCTATTTTTTTTCGTTTAGCCTTTGTGTGAAAAAGTTTATTCATTTCAAAAACTACGAAACATCTTAATGAAATCTAAAATCAATAGGAGTTGTTTTCATTTTGATGAAGCAAAACAGCGTTTCTTTTATTTTTATACAAGTTTTAAAGCGCTAACTTGTGTTTTTTGCGAGTGCTTTTAATATGCTTCCAACATACAATTTATGATAACTTGCGTTAGCCATTTCATTTTTAGGCACGTAAGTAAAATTAGACATTCGTTTTCAATTTAAAAAGAATTTCTAAGTCTTCTCAGGTATTCTTTGTCAAAAGAAAAACTCAATTCAACTAGTTTTTTCTTGCTTTCAAGGCTTCTCAGCTATATCACCTATTTTCATATCTACGAAAAAAGAAGCCTTTTCGAATTTTTTTTGGAAATCTTGGTTTCTCTTTTTTTTGTTTCATTTTTGCAATAGTTATTGTTACTCATGTGGTTTGCATCATAACTGGTTGGTTATAATTAAAACACAAATAGCAGTAATAATACATTATAATAATATTATGACAGCTAGTATAGATCTTCCTCCTCGCCTCCGACAGCCTCGCAATCGGCACTATCGACTCCAACTTCCTCGTAGTCCTTTTCCAGTGCGGCCAGATCCTCTCTTGCCTCACAAAACTCGCCCTCTTCCATACCCTCCCCGACATACCAGTGGACAAAAGCTCTTTTAGCATACATCAAGTCGAACTTGTAGTCGAGACGAGCCCACGCTTCGGCGATGGCAGTCGTGTTGCTGAGCATGCACACTGAACGATTGATTTTAGCCAGGTCTGCTCCGGGAACAGTAGTCGGGGGCTGGTAGTTGATGCCAATTTTGAACCCTGTTGGACACCAATCGACGAATTGGATCGATCTGAAAAAGAAGATGAATTTAAAAGGTTTATCAAGTTAATCAAGTTTATCACCATTAACTAATTGATTTTACCTTTTTAAAACACTAAAGACTGCTGCGTGTAGGATTTCTGCCTGTATTATAAACTTCTGATGCTATGGTATAAAAAAATGGCCGTTTTGGGGTTAAGTTTTCTTCTTCCACGCCAAAATTTCGAAATTTCAAAATTTCAAAATTTTTCCTAATATTTTTCAGTATAAAGAAATATTCTTGTAGACAGTAATGAATCATGAAAGTTGCTCAAACTGAAGAACTCTTGGGAAATTTTGCGAAGAACTCTTTGAAACATTCTGCATTCATATCTGTAAAATCTAAGCAGCCACTATTTAAATGTTGCTTAGTGTTAGCAAAAACTAATTTAGCATGCTACTCAAGGTACCTTTTGGTCTTGATTTGGGCGATTGCAGCATTCACGTCTTTAGGCACCACGTCTCCTCTGTATAACATGCAGCACGCCATGTACTTCCCCCTTCTAGGATCACACTTGACCATCTGGTTAAAAGGCTCAAAACACGCGTTAGTAATCTCCTGCACATTCAGTTGCTCGTGGAACGCCTTCTCGGCTGAAATAATAGGCGCGAACGTCGCCAGAGGGAAGTGGATCCTCGGGTAGGGTACCAAGTTCGTCTGGAACTCAGTCAAGTCGACGTTCAAGGCACCGTCGAACCGCAACGAAGCGGTGATTGAGGAGACCACTTGAGATATGAGTCGGTTCAAGTTGATATACGACGGGCGTTCGATTCCCAGATTGCGCTTGCATATATCATAAATGGCCTCGTTGTCAACCATGAAGGCGCAGTCTGAGTGCTCAAGAGTCGTGTGCGTCGTCAAGATGGAGTTGTATGGTTCCACGACTGCTGTCGCGACTTGAGGCGCTGGATAGACAGCGAACTCAAGTTTCGACTTTTTTCCATAATCCACCGAGAGTCGCTCCATGAGAAGCGAAGTGAATCCGGACCCGGTTCCGCCTCCGAAGGAGTGGAATAGCAGGAACCCTTGGAGTCCGGTGCAGTTCTCGGTAAGTTTTCGGATCTTGTCGAGGACGGGGTCAAGGTGTTCCTTGCCGACGGTGTAGTGTCCTCGGGCGTAGTTGTTGGCGGCGTCTTCCTTCCCGGTGAGCAGTTGTTCCGGGTGGAACAGTTGCCGGTAGTGTCCAGTTCGGATCTCGTCTAAAAAAAATAAAATCGATGAAAAATGAAATCCATCTCTACTTTTATCGTGAAAACTTCTAGAACTTTATTATCGATTTGACCAAAAAAGTAAAATATTGATTCAATGAAACAAAAATAATTCGCCGGTTTAACGCAGTATTGAACACATCTCAAAAGATTGACTTGGACAATCATCAAAGCAATGCCTCATACCTTTTTCGTTTCCTTGTAGTTAAACTTTTTATAAATTTGTCCGTATGCTCTTCTGCTGGAAGCAAATTAAGGCAATAATAAAACTGAATTAAATAAAACCCAGCCCAGAAAAATAACCAAAAAAAACTGCATGTAGTTCTTAAGCAGGGGCACAACAGCGGTTCGCCGTAATGAGCTGTACAGCTCGCATGTTGTTCCTTTCCCTCGTGGATAAATGGGTTTAAAAAATTACATACCAATGACGGTAGTCTCTAGGTCGACGAATATGGCCCTGGGCACGTGCTTGCCCCCTCCTGTCTCGCTGAAGAAGGTGGAGAATGAGTCATCCACACTTCCCCCCTTGCCAGCGATTGGACTGGTTGCCATCCCATCCTCACCCCCACCCATATATCTACCAAACAGCATCATGTTTACTTTCAAAATGAAAAAATAATCCAAAGGAAGTAACCTCGATTTCAACATTGTAAGAATTCCTGATATATATTTTTAGTTTTTACTCCTTCAGGTTTTTACTTTCGTTTTTGATACTATACCTTTTAAACCATTGCTGAGCTCTAAATCACTCGTTTTGACCAACTTATAAGTTGCAACACTCATACGGAATGAAAATGAAAGCGAATCGCTGAAAACTAGCTAAATTTTTTATAATAATTAAACAAATATAAGAAAAATTTGAAAGATGCCACTTATTAACGCTTTTGAAGCAAACTTGATAGCATTTAACGAATTTGAATTTCGTGCATTTATTTTTTGATTAGCTTTCAAAGTTAGAATGAAATTTAATTCTGAAATTAGCCGGTAATTAGAAGAGCAAATTTATTTTGATGAGGGCTTATTGCTTACTTTTATTATAACGCGAGACCAAAAAAGGCAAAGTTTTTCCGGGGCAGCGGTTGAAACATTGTAAAAAATACGTTTTTGAAATAAACTAGTTGAAACATAAGCCAGTTTTTAGGATGTCATTGCTCAAAACGCATGTTTTTGACTAAAAGTCAAATGGGTCCATCAAAAGGGTCCATTTTTTGGTTATATTTTAACATCCATTTTTTTGCTATCGTAGCAGCTGTGAGGGTTGAGTGCACGCTAAATGAACCCAATTTTTGAAGTCAAAATCTGCCAAACGTCTTTTTGTCTGTAAAACATTTGATCAAAACAAGATTTGGGAAAAATCACAAAATTAAATAGCTCGACCGAAAAAAGGCGACAAAACTTCCATTTTAAAAAAAATTTTGCGCACCTCAAGCATATTTCAAATCCATCCTTGTATCTCAAAATATACTTCAAGTAAAGTTTTAAAAATTGCGTTCTTCAGTACGAATGAAATAATCTTAGTTACCCTATATTAGCTGTGAAAAGATTGAAAAAAGAATGAAACTAAAAACGCAGCTTGACATCGAAGCTGTTGTATTTTGTCGCAAGTTTTTCCGTCCTAAAATCAACAACTTTGAAGTGTGTCTACCAAAACATCATTTTTTTCATGGAAAAAATAACTGCAAAAGTAAGCGGATTGAACTTAAATTAATTTTTTGTTCTAGCTGTTCTATTTACAAAAAGAGCTTTTTTTGTAAGAACAAAAACTACAAAAAAGCTTTTTTCAAGTTAATGAAGTTTTTTCTGCATGGTATGATAAAAAATCTAATGTAAAATTATAAAATATGCATATTTGACAGCCATAGTAATATAAGCAAAGTTGACAGATGTTTTTGTAGAAAATTTTTGGAATATTTCTGAATTTTTTGGTTTCCAAAATGAAGCTAAGAAACTCAAAGCAAGAAACTAATAGCATAGTTTTCAAGGCTTAAATTAGACTTAATTAGGCTGTTGTATGCCTGATCGCTCGCTTTGTTTGTTGGAATTAAGAAGAAAAATCAAAATATTTAAACCGGTTTTTCTCGACACTGGAAAACTTTTTCGAACTTTTAAAAATTCGATCGAATCGCAACTAAAAAGGCTTCAAAATTTTATATCACTCAACTCTCGCCAATGAGTATTTGTGAAAGCTGATTGGCTTGGATTTGCGTTTTTAATTGCCTAAAGCTAGGTTTGTAGGATTGCTTAAATTTGGCATAATTAAGCTGTTGTATGCCTGATCGCTCGCTTGATTCGTCCAAAAAAGGACGAGAAAGCAAAAATTTTAAACCGGTTTTTCTCGACACTGGAAAACTTTTTTGGATTTTTTTTCATTTTTCGATCAAATCACAACTGAAAAGGCTTTAAAATGATTTATCACTCAATTTTCTTTGATGATTATTTGCGTGGTAGCCGATTTTGCGTAGAAAAAAAAACTAAAACGCACCCGAATACAAAATTCCTCCCTATGGTTCAAATGGTCCGAACAAAGATATTTTGAAACGGACTGTTTGTTGTAAAAAAAATATATTTGGCCAATTTGTCTTAATTGCAAGTTTTTCATTAAGCCGAAAACTGCTCCGACTCAGACCATCACTTGAATTTGAAAGCTTTAACGAAGCTATGCCTTAAAACGAGCTTTTTTGCTCTAATTATACATAAAATAAATCACACGTGTATAATAGCACTTGTTTTTTATAAAACGAGACGCATTGCTATCAGTTAACACGAAAGTTAAAACAGAAAAAGCGTTAGAGAAATATATTTGTTCAGTAGCAGGTCAAACGGAACTATCCCCCCTAAATCAAAATAGGGGGGTGGGGATAGTTCAATTGGTTAAAAGTAAAATTTGTCGTCAAATCAGGTTTCAGCATACTATTACTGGCCTTTCATAAGCCTTACTGCTTGAATTTGTCATTTTAATTTAGGAGGGACATTGTTCACTAGGTTAATGAAGGGGGAGATTGTTCACATGGGCCGATCAGCCTATTGATCAGGTTAATGATGGGGTTTTTAATTTCTTGACAGAATTTTCGATTTTGGCTCTTTCTCTTTTTGGCTTGGTGGCCTGTCGCCAATAGTACCCATGAGATTTTGGCTTCAGAAGCAGGGATATTAATATATATTAGATTTTAGATTGCATTTTAAGATTGTATCTAATTTTTGAAGCAAATCTGGATTTTTTCCCAGAAAAATTTTTTTTGAAGAATTTGTAAGAATTTTGTTGCAGACGTTTTTCTAGTCTTAGACCAAATCTTTGTAGATCCAAAAATATTTTTCAAGGAAACGTCGTTTAAAGTTATGCAATAAACGTGCATTCGCGTGCATGGTAACCAAGACAGATACTTTTTAGTAGCTTACCCATCGGGTCTTATTCCGTGTTCCAAGCAGTACAGTTCCCAGCAGGCGTTTCCGATCTGCACTCCCGCCTGACCCACATGAACTGATATTACTTCACGCTGCAAACAAAAAGAAACAATTTACATTAAAATACTGTTTCAATTATGATAGTTAATTATTATATTTGTTATTTATAATAGTTATGTTGCTAAAAATTAGATGGATCCCTGAAGGAAAATTTTCTTGCCTCGAAATATTTTCAGTCTTGCTTTTACAGTGATGCCAGATCGTACAAGCTCATAATTGACAATTTCACCCTATGATTTTTTTCTAACGAAATATCCCTATTAGAAAGAACTATTCCATCAGTTGAGCATGATTGATTACACAAGTCGAGTTTTCGGCATTCTATGTTTGGACCAAATTGACCGAACCAGTTGTCATAGTTCGGCCACAAATCCATAGTAGGACCTATAGTTGAACTGAAAATCGAAACATAATGTAATGTCGAGCAGAAAATTAGAATTGAAACTTTTTTCCCTTTTTGTTATGGGGGAATGATTTATTTCATAATGTTTGACGCCTTCAAATTATTCCATTTTGGATTGAATTTATGAGAAAAAAACCTTCGCAAAATACTATAAAACGTATAATTTACACTTTTTAAAAAAAAGCTAACCAACAAATATTGAAATTTTGAAGTGATGATGGGTTTACGAAGAGAACCTTGAAGATTAGCAACCCTTTTTTTTACAGAAAGCCCCCCTCTTACCCCCCCCCCCCCTCCCTCCTTCAGTGAAATCTCAGCCGGGTCAGTTGGTTTAAGATTTACATACCATTTTGTTGAAATTGGTAAAGAAGATAGTCTTTGTCAAAGAAATTGGTAGAAAATTGTTAAGTTGTTAAAAGTAGCCTTAGTGCGACTAGCTGTTGTAAACTCAAATCGAATAATAAGCACTACCCAATACCCAGAACTATTGTAACAACGCAGTACTTGACAGCAGGGTATTTTGCCCAAATAGCCGTTCCCACTTTTCCCACGTTTAATTCTTAAACCCTTGCAGTGTTATCTCGCATAAGTCAGAGGTTAACTTGCTTATACGTTGTTACAGAATATTACAAAGCATTCGTGTATTGCCGTTTAAGGAGGAAAATGAACTCTTTAATTCTACAAGGAAGTCAAAACTTAGAAAACACGATTTCCTGAGCTGGGCTTAAAGTATTTAATCAAATCTACTATTGACAGTATGAAGGTACAACTTTTCAAGCTTTCATAACATGCAATGGTATACATTCTTCAAATAACAACACAGTTTTATAGTTTGACTCAACAACTTTTTCCCATATTTACAAGAATTTTCCAGAACAAAAACAGGAAAAAATTAAAAGATGTATTTTCATATCTGCATCTTTTTTTTATTTTTCACAACAATTTTTTGCCATAAAAAAATTTGGCAAAATTAGAAATTAGGTGCCAAGATGATTCAGTCATGTATTGAACTTCAAAATTGCTAACTTGAACTCAAAATCAAACAAGACTGCTCGATCAAGGCGAAGTCGTGAGGGTTTCGACTGCGTTAAAAAATAGACTAAATTTAAAAAAAAATTTTTGATGTTTTTTTTTCTAAAATAATGCCGTCACACGCTATGTAAAACATAAGTTGAAATATTTCGCATATAGCAAACTATTAAATGGACCAAAGAGCACCCGCGCCGGAGTTCCATGGATAATAATCGATTATAATTGAAAATTGTTGTCTAAAATGTAGTCATTATAATCCATTATTGTTGCAAATTTAGACCACGAAATCGTTTATATTGTCAATATAATCGATTAATTTCAAAAAAAAACAATCCATTAAAATCCATTATAACTGATTATAATCCATTTAAAATCCATTTTATTGATTATAACGGATTATAATCTTTACAATTTCTTGCTAAATTATTCGCAAAACTTGCAATCTTCCTGCGTTACTCACGGCTTACTCGCAATCTAAACCTACTCAAATTAACCCCCCTCACTTTGCCCCACATCCCCATTTGCCCCCTCCCCTCACACCCGCATTTAAACATATAAACAACGTCCCTACTTTTATCACTACGCCCACCCACTTGCCCCCACCCACCCACTTGAGCCCACCCACACCCCTTTCCCCAATTTTTTTACCACGCCCACATTCAGTAAACAGGGGGGAGGTTTAAACTAAGATAGGAGGAGGGGGGCTAAACTGAGGAGGGGTCAACCGGGTCAGGGATTTGGGTTAAACTGACGAGGGGTAAGCTGTGAGGGGGGGGGGGGTAAACTTGGGAAGGGGGTTGTTAAAAAGGTAAAAAGGTGATGGAGTTTAAGAATTATATCAAAAGTAGAGAAAACTTGAATAAATAAAATCGTAGTTGCAATGTTAAAAATTATGAAACGTAATACGTAGCAACTGCACGACACAGGAGATGAGATAACTTTGAAATAAATTAGGAAAATTCGTGAATTATTCTCAAAAAATACATTCCCGCATCCAGTTTTGAGCGTAAATAATCAATTATAATATGATTTTAGTACCAGTCTTCGAAAACTTGAGAAACAATTGATTTTTAAAATTTAATAGCCGATTATAATATCTCTTTTTGAAATCAAATATAATCAATTATAATACATTATAAATCGATTATAATCCATTATTTTTATCCGAATTTCTGATTCATTATCAGCACACTGATTCAATATCAGCACCAACAAAATATCAGCGCACTGCTTTTTTTCATGATTTGTATAGAAGAGTTAAATTTCACCTATTGCGGGATTCTTTCAACTAATATGAAGGAACCTCTATGAAACTTTTGTTTTGTGGTAAAACTTTCTGTTCAGATAAGCCAAAGAGTGACAAGAGATCTCCGTTTTAAAAAAATTTGCCAAAAAAAAACATTTACATCTCTTAATAATAGTTTATAATAGTTTATAGGAGATTATAGGAGATTATAAGAGATTTTTTGGAAAAAATTAAAATCAATTAAAATTGATTATAATTTATTATAATGTCACGAAAAATTCTAATGATAACGAATGATAAATTCGTTATCATTCTAATGGGTTATAAATAGTTAAACATCTAATTTTGGCGCTTATAATCAATTATACGTTTGGTAAAATTACAATTATAATTGTATTATAATCAATGATTTTGTCTTTTTACTGAGTGCGGGTTATAATCGATTATAGTCTTTTATAATGAATTATATTGATTGAAATTTTTTTTTGGTTATAATCCATCTTCAATGGATTAAATTGATATAAAAAATACTAAGATTATAACCCTTTTTTTATGGATTACAATCGATTATTTTTGGAATTTTATAGATACTGACTATAGAATGACAATATAATCGATTATTATCCATGGAACTCCAGTGCGTTCAAGCCTCAATTCAATTTTTAATACGGATTATATTTCCGCTTGCTTTTTAAAAGCACCAAATAAAACGCGCGTTAATTGTTTCAAATTGGCAACCTTTGGAAACCCCCACAACAAACAGAAAATGATCACAAGTGAAAAAACTTTTTCAATTTGAGCTCAGGACAACAATACTTTTGAATGATATAAAACCGGGCCAGGGGTTTGGGTTAAACTGACGAGGGGTAAGCTGTGGGGGGGGGGGGATAAACTTGGAAAGGGGGTTGTTAAAAAGGTAAAAAGGTGATGGAGTTTAAGAATTATATCAAAAGTAGAGAAAACTTGAATAAAAAAAATCGTAGTTGCAATGTTAAAAATTATGAAACGTAATACGTAGCAACTGCACGACACAGGAGATGAGATAACTTTGAAATAAATTAGGAAAATTCGTGAATTATTCTCAAAAAATACATTCCCGCATCCAGTTTTGAGCGTAAATAATCAATTATAATATGATTTTAGTACCAGTCTTCGAAAACTTGAGATACAATTGATTTTTAAAATTTAATAGCCGATTATAATATCTCTTTTTGAAATCAAATATAACCAATTATAATACATTTTAATCGATTATAATCCATTATTTTTATCCGAATTTCTGATTCATTATCAGCGCACTGATTCAATATCAGCACCAACAAAATATCAGCGCACTGCTTTTTTTCATGATTTGTATAGAAGAGTTAAGCTTCACCTATTGCGGGATTCTTTCAACTAATATGAAGGAACCTCTATGAAACTTCAGATAAGCCAAAGAGTGACAAGAGATCTCCGTTTTAAAGATTTTTGACAGAAAAAAACATTTAAATCTCTTAATAATAGATTATAATAGTTTATAGGAGATTATAAGAGATTTTTTGGAAAAAATTAAAATCAATTAAAATTGATTATAATTTATTATAATGTCACGAAAAATTCTAATGATAACGAATGATAAATTTGTTATCATTCTAATGGGTTATAAATAGTTAAACATCTAATTTTGGCGCTTATAATTAATTATACGTTTGGTAAAATTACCATTATAATTGTATTATAATCAATGATTTTGTCTTTTTACTGAGTGCGGGTTATAATCAATTATAGTCTTTTATAATGAATTATATTGATTGAAATTTTTTTTTGATTATAATCCATCTTCAATGGATTAAATTGATATAAAAAATACTAAGATTATAACCCTTTTTTCATGGATTACAATCGATTATTTTTGGAATTTTATAGATACTGACTATAGAATGACAATATAATCGATTATTATCCATGGAATTCCAGTGCGTTCATGCCTCAATTCAATTTTTAATAAGGAATATATATCCGCTTGCTTTTTAAAAGCACCATATAAAACGCGCGTTAATTGTTTCAAATTGGCAACCTTTGGAAACCCCCACAACAAACAGAAAATGATCACAAGTGAAAAAACTTTTTCAATTTGAGCTCAGGACAACAATACTTTTGAATGATATAAAAAAACTCCTTTAAAAATTGCTATTTTAAAAGTCGAAATTTGTCTGGCCCTTCATGTATTCATAAAAAGCTAGCTGCGACTCTCCCGATGTACAGCACATTTTAAGAAACTGCGTATGATGTCACGACAGCACATTTCTGCTTAGCCGAAACGTAGAGAAACTAATTTTACGTTCCATTTGCTAGATCTATGTTTCATAACATGATTCACAGGGATGCAAAAGCTAGAAAGAAATTTAGCTCAGCGCACACTGGCATTGCTTCTATTGTTGTTTTAGTTCGGTTCTCTTCCGGGTTCTCCTCCAACTAACACTCAGCTGTCGACTAAATTTTGAACATCACTTCCAAGTCATGTTCAGAAGTCAAGCGAGAAAAAATTATTGTTTGCAGAAAGGATACTGCAAACTATTACCTATCGAGGTAACCAACCTGTCGCTGCTGCTGCAGAACATAGCATCAGATCAGCTTTGAAAAGTTAAAAAAAAACAATTTATACATGCAATTAGCTGTTTTTGTTCCGACCATAGAAAATAGGGAGGAACTTTGTATTCGGGTGTGTTTTAGCTTTTTTCTTTTTTCTTTTTGTTTTCCACGCAAAATCAGGTAGCAAATACATTCATTTGAGTAGGTTGAGTGATATATCATATTGAAGCCTTTTAAGTAGCGTTTCGAACCACATTTAAAAATTCCTAAAAGATTCTAGTGCCGAGAAAAATTGGTTTGAAATATTAGATTTTTCGTCTAATTTCGGGCGACGAAAGCCAACGAGCAGGTCTACTTATGCTTATTTTAAGCCGTTTACAATAGCTTATTTATGCTCAATTTCGACAAAAAAACAGGTCAGAAAGTTTCTGAATCAAAACAAAAATTATCTGTTATTTATTCTTAATGTTACTGTTGAGCTAGTTTTCTTCGACTTTTTGTTTTCCATGCATAGTCAAGTCAGACAAAAAATCATCAGTATTGGTCGATGATAAATGATATTGAAGCCCTTTCAGTCGTAATTCGAATGACATTAAGAAATTTTGAAAAAAAATCCTGAATTGAGAAAAACTAGTTTTTGATTCTT